CCCCCCCCCCCCGCGGCTGCCCTCCTGCCTTTTCCAAAGTCTTGGTTACTGACAAGAGTGGGTGACTTCCGAGGCGGGTGGCGTGCCAGGCGTTCCACGTGGAGGCTGGCCGAAAATGCCGTTTGCCACACCTGTCGGGGAAGGTAGCCTGACTCTCCGTTTGATTTAATTTGGATCTCCTGGCTGCCGGGATGGCACCGTGATTTCCTCTGCACCCCCCTGAGGCTTTGGGGAGAAGTTAAAAGTCCAGATTGAGGATCTGGGGGGAAAAACGCAAGAACTCACTCAGAAAATGAGGAAAGTTGCCTGTCTGGACGACATCTCTTAGGCAGTCGTTCCCAACCTTGGGTAACTCCGGTGTTCTTGGGCTGCAACTCCCAGAAATCCTGGCCAGCACAGCGAGTGGTTGAAGGCTTCTGGGAGTTGTAGTACAAGAACATCTGGGTCACCCAAGGTGGGGAACCTCTGCCTTATGACGCCTCACACTGCCCTTTGCTGTGGGTACATGTGGAGAGCCTAGAAAGGGTTTTTTCTTGTGTGATGCTGGTCCTGCTGGGATTCCCTCACATCTTCCACCGGCAGCCCTGGGATCTCCTCTCCATCCTCTTGGGATTATATTATGGTATGCATTTTTGGAGACTGTGTATCCTCTGTTTTGGAAAGAGGTGGAAGGGTTGGCATTACATACGCATTCCCAGACCCTGTAGAAGTTACTTTTGTGGCTCTGCAACCCCAGAATTCCTCAGCCAGGAAGACCAGTAGCCAAGCTCCCTGGAGGATTATGGGAGTTGTAGTCCAATGAAAGGCACTTTTCTAAGCCTATGGTGATCGATGCATCCAAGAAGTTTGGTTCTCTTTTTTCAAAGCTTCTTGTACCGGAAGTGGAAGGAATGATGCCAGATCAGCCAAGAGATCTATGTAGATTTCCAGGACAGCAAAGTGCTCCACTTCTTCCCTCCGTTTATGCCTCATAAACCAGCAAAAGGGTCCTCTGCTGCCTTCAGCCCCCCCCCTCAACCGATGTTCCTTTTTCCATCTTTCCATCCTCTTGACTCTTCCGTGTTCTTCTTTGCTCCCCACAGGGGTGCCTCCGTCAGCTCTGCGCCCAGCTGCAGCAGCACATTGGCGCCAACCTCCGGGAGGACCCCTGCCTCATGTACCGGACGAGGCTCAAGGATCTGGTGGCCCGGACCTACATCAAGTGGCTGGAACTGCCGTCCCAGGGCTAGCGGCGGACCTGTCCTTGGCAAGTAATAGCACTGGGAGGAGGAGGAGGAGCGTGTTTGGGGACAAACGCTTATTAAGTCATCATCCAAGGTGCTTTCCCATGTTTGATTCAGATATGGTGGGGAAGGGGGCATGGTCCTCATAACCCTGTATGGTGCCTTCAGGTGAGGGCGTGATGGAACCGATGTGCAGAGCAAGTGAAATGGTTTTGAGGAATAAAACAAGAGGGTTCTCCCTTCCCGCTGAATCTTCCATAAACCCTAAACCTTGGGGGAGATTCTTGTATGACTGCAGTTCCTAGAATCCTTCAGGGCCCCTGAAGAGAGGAGAGGCCATGGTGGGCCCAGAGCAGGCCACACGGCACACAGCTGTCTTCTCCTCTGCCTTGCTGCCCCCTGAGGCATCCGCCCTGCTGGCTTGAATCCCAAGGGCAGGAGCCTAGAAGCTGGCTAGGCAGAGGTTCATTCTCCCACGGAGGGAGCCTCTGTGCGTGCCACCCGGGCACACGCGGGCTCTTCCACCCCTTCCATCAAATGTGCGACCCAAAGGCAGGTGGTCCCGCTCCGAGCCATTCAGAATAAAAGAGGAAAGGAACGGAATGTCCCAAGGGCTCCTTGAGGCAATGTGCTCTCTTGAGGCCAGCAGCAGAGGTGGCCCTACACAGGGCGCTGCCTGAGGCCAGACACTCCTGTTCCTTGTGCAAAAGCGAGCTAGACTTCGAGGGCATGATTACGTCCAGGCACCGTTGTAGCTGCCTTGAGCCTCTTCAGCTGCTCCTGTTCCATTCTATAGAATTTTGGGAGATTGTAGTTTTGGTGAAGATGGGCATGTCCAATTACCCGCTAGAGAACTGTTGTGGTTTAGTTCAGGAGAGTCTTCAGCATCCCGAGGAATGCTAAACCCCGAACAGCTGTAACTGGACAACATAAAGACACTCCTGGGCACCCACAATGCTGGGAAGTGTGGGAGAGCAGGGAAAAGATTGAATGAGGCTGCTTGGGGTCAAGCCTTTCAATGACAGGGCCTCCCCCGGAGATAAGCCGCTTTGAGAAAGGAAATTTGGGGACAGGGGTTGCCGGCCAGGGATTTCCAGGTTTGACCAGCAGAATACTCCTCCTGTCCAGGGTGCACCATAGCACTACTGACGGGTAGCGCTGGATGCTGGATCCATCCATCTGGGTCACGGCTTGATTTACAATCCCAGCCAGTGCTGACGTCCTTTTATGCAAACATGATGGAAAACAGAAGCACCACTTCTGCTGCCCTCCAGCACCATTAGACTCGGACTGAGTCATCCGAGAAGATTCTGCTGGCTGGATTTGTTCCTGAAGTTATCGGAAAGCCTAGGAGACCTATGGGGGGGTGGGGTGGAGCAGGCGGGTGCAGGGAAGGAAATGAGGGCCATTAGCAGGGCTAAAATCAAAGGGATCCTGCGCTGTTATTGTGTCGTTAATTAGTAACCCGAGTTTAATGAGTTGTCTTCCCTTCCTGATCCGGTGGTTGTGCTCTTTTAATCCGATCAGCCAGGGCTGGCTGGATAGAGTCAGAGGCAGCAGCGACTGGGGACACGTCATGGCAGGGCAGCGTGGCGCTTCTGGGGTATTTCAGTGGGCACAAACAGAGATGCCACGTGGGAAAGGAACAAACTGGATCCTTTTGAACGCAGTGACCATGGCATGGAGGGAAGGGACACTTCCCACCAGCGAGTTCTTTGAAAAAGAATGAAAAACCAAAGAGGAGTTGGGTTTCTGAATTTCCAACAGCACTCTTTCACACTCCTCCTGCCCCCTTTTAAGGAGGTTTTCCCGGGGGGGGGGAATTACGCCCCTTGTCCATTAGCAGAGGGTAGAGAAGTGCCACGAGGGTTCTCTGCCATTGGTCCGGCCGTTCCTCCTGCATCTCGCCCGAGTGTCCCTGAAGCACTGATTCCTGCGGATGCTGCCTAGGTGGCTGGACTTTGTTGGCATTTTCGGCTGCCCCAGGCCACAACCTCTGAATCCTTGAGCATCACATGCGGTTCTGCAAAGGCCCACATGGCTGTGAACCCATCCCACCAGCCTTCTCTGCTGCAGGCGACCCAGAGCAGCTGCTGACTGCACGGGGAGAGCAGGGGACACCTTTCGTGTTAAATTTCGGGAAGGTTTTCAGGGGCGGCTGTTTTTGCAGTGGGAGGTGGGTCCAGAGGATGAAGGGTGGGGCTAAACATGCCATCATGTTCTAGCTTTTACTGTCTGCGGCAGAGAGCCGTTTCCCAGCCTTTCAAAAGAGGAAAGAAATGTGCCAAAATTGGGAGATCACAAAATAATGGCATTGTTGGGAGAAGGGTCTGGAGACCCCCTCAAGGGCCACATTGGGGGCCCCCAGTGTTGTCCCGAACCCAGTTCCATAATACCCAAACGTGGACCACAATATTCTAACAGTCCCCGTTCTTCCTTTTTTGATTGTTTGCTGTTCTCTGGGTGTTGCCCTCGAATAAGGTGGGAATAGTACTGGATTTTCCAAAACCAACACAGTGGGAACTTGCCTCTCCCCCATAGAAGGAAGCCCTGTTCCTTAACGGGATGCGCATGAAACCGTGGAGCGAAGAGAGAAAGTTGCCTTGCGAATGGTCAGGGGTTAGGATCCTCGAATTAGATGTCTGAAGAAGGGCCAGCGCAGCTGTAGATGGGACTAGTGTTACTGGAGGGGCATAATTAGAGAAGAAGGAGAAGAGAAGAGAAAAAAGAAACTGCGCTCCATGCCAGAACCAATTATTCCAGCAAAAAGGTTTGCTGTTCCTGGAGAGCCGGCGTTGTGCTGAGTTTCAAAGAGGCAGATGTGGTTGCCCGTTTTCGGCATGTATAACAAAAATGATACAAAACAAACCCGGCAAGGTCTTAACAGCACTTGGAGACTCGCAGATCTGTTTCAGCGCAGGCTTTCCTGGATTACAGTCCCTTTTTTCAGACGGAAACGGAGGCGTGGGCTGCGAGCCACGGAAGCTGGCCGTGAAACGGATCTGTTTGCTTTCAAGAGGCCACACGGCTTTGTTCTTGTCGCTTCTCTTCTCCAGCGCTGTGTGCTGCTTAGACTGGTTGGTCTAAAAAACCTGCAAGAGGCAGGTTCGAGTCCCGACTGAGCCCTGAGATGCACTGGGTGGTCTCGGGCCGGGCTTGCTCTTTGGGTCCGCTCTGCCTCGCAGAATCGTCGTTCAGGTTCACTAGCAGGGTGGAGAAAAGCCTTGTACTTCATCAGAAGAAGAAAGGCAGGAGATCAATGTGACTTAATAAATAAGCACGCACCTCGGTGCCTCCCTCCTGTTAAGAGTCCCCCTTTTGTTCTGCTGTCTGCTCTGAAGAACGTTATCATTCTGCTTTTCTCTCCTCTTAGGGTCAGAGTAAAAAACATCTGATCGGACATATCCTAGAACCCCTGGAGTGTGCCAGAAGGAAGAGCAGCAAGGAGACGAGGAAAGCAAGCGGTTTGGTGGAGTGAGGGGGGAAGGGGGGGCAGGAAAAAGCTCAGTCCTTCTACCCCTCCCACCCTTCTTCTTTCATCCTTCATCTCTATAAGCAACAGCATTTCAACTTCAGCATTTTAACGTTGGGTTTCCAATTCTTCTGTTTTTGAAAGGAGCAAAGTTCTTCCAGGGGTTAAGCCAACAACGTTTGCCATTTATTTAGACAACCTTGTGCCTTTTAAGAAGCCTGCTTTCAAAGCAAACACTCCGGGAAGGGAATATCCACCCCTCCCTGCCCAGACCAAGCCAAAATAAATGTCATTTCTAATGGATTTCATTTCTCTCTTCTTGGCTGTTCCCCCAGGTTGTAACAGTAAGTGCTCTACTGTGTGCAGGCATGGGCCCTGCTCAAGGGTGCAGAATACGGCACCTTTTGAAATGGCCTGAGTTCTTAGTGGCACAGAGAAGATGGGAAAAGGCTGCACCTCCCAAAGTGTTGGTGGGTGTAGGGAAGAACCCCTTAGGACCCCAGGGGCGTATTTTGTCAGCCAGTTCGTTTTCCCCGGGGGGGAGGGGAATCCACACAAAGAGCCGTGCATTGCTTGCAGAAAGTCCAGTCCCTGGTAGTTCCATCTGAAAAGGGTTTCAGATGGTCGGGGGGGAGGGGAATCCACACAAAGAGCCATGCATTGCTTGCAGAAAGTCCTGTCCCCGGTACGTAGTTCCATCTGAAAACGGTTTCAGATGGACTGGGAGCTTCGGAGAGGTCTTTTAAGCTAAACTGAGGTGTGCAAAGGACACCTTCCAGGTATTGCCAGGTTGCAACAGCCACCATCCTTCTGCGCTGCTCTGGTGGGAGTTGCAGACCAGCCACCACCGGAGACCTGCAGTTAATTTGCACACATCCCTGGGCTAACGGCCTGACATTAAGAGGCTTCCCGGGGACTCGGCAGTTTTTCCAGATGTTCCACGGCTCCTCTCGTCCCTGCCTCTTGGCCACGTTGGCCACAGATGTAGGAATTGCAGCCCAAAACCTCTGGAGGAATCCCAATGGGGTAAACCTAGTATAGGTGGAAGGCAGGGGTAAGTAGGTACATGCGTAGCTTCTGGCTGGAAGAGCCACTGATCAGTATGTGAAACAAGATAATGGGGCCTAAACTGGGTTCCATCTTTTCATGGAGCAACCTTCTCGCAAGAGAGCGTTGAGGTGACAGCAACAAGATCTGTCTGGGGAGAAAACCAACAAACTGAAGGCTAGGAAAGACTTCTGTGGCCGACAGAGACCATAGCTTTTAGGAAATCACCCAGATGTTCCTCCACTCAAAGGCCACTACATTTTGGAAAGGGAGAGAAAACACTTTTACAGAGGGGCCAAGACTTGACTCAGTTCAGTTCTGTTTCTGTTGATGATCAGACCTAGGACGAAAAATTCATACAGCAGGGTCCTCCTTCCTGTTTCCTAATTCGGTGGCTCCCAACCTCAAAGGTCCCCAGATGTTCTTGGACTACAAGTCCCAGAAATCGTGGCCAGCCCAGCTGGGGGTGAAGCCTTCTGGGAGTTATAGTCCAAGAATCTTTGGGGACCCAAGATTGAGAACTATGTCCTAATTAATGTAGGGTCCAGTACACTGGAAAGCTCTCTGTAAGCATTATTGAAACGCAGAGGGATGGTGTGTGAGTCATCCATAGAAAAATGTCTTCTCCTGACTCGGGGCAACCTCTGGCTCCACAGCCAAATACCAGAAACACTGAGATATCCAGCCAGCTGGTAAAGCCCATAGGAGCATGCAGTTGTGAGTGTAGGGTATGATTCCTCTGAATGCAGACACTCTGTGGGTAAGAAATCATGCAGGATCCGCTCAGCTGGGCCCGACCGAAGTCCACTCTTCTGTTTGCTAGTAATGACTAGCCAAATACTTCTAAGAAGGTCACAGCCTGGATGCAGGAAGAGAATGCTCCTTTTTCACCTGGTTCCATCTTCCCAGACATGTAAGATAAGGAGACTGCATTAGTTAGCCTGCAGATCAGCCAAGTAAGTTTCAGATTATTCTTATAGTTTGTCTTGTAGTGTTTGTCTGATAGTTTTATCTGTGGTGAATTTATGGGGAGAAAAGTGGCATATAAATAATATAAAGGTGGCGTGGATGTTTCAGAGTACACGGGCAGTGCATTCCGAAGCCTGGGAGCAGCCACGGAGAAGGTCCTCTCTCGTGTCCTCCCCGAATAAGTTGATGAAGCTGGAAATCAAAAGCCTGGCCCCTACAGTCACTTGAGAGGCTGCCGTTTCACCCCCTGATTCTCTCTCTCTCTCTCTCTCTCACTCACACACACACACACACACGCACCATTTATCGTCCTGTGCTACCAGAAAAGAAAAAGTTTTACAACCTACACAATCAAGAAGGGAGCATGGCTGTTAATTCCATTCCTGGGATATTTATAATCTCTTGTTATCCAGTAAGGCCATTGTTGGGTTTCTCTTTATTGCAGGGAAAACTGATAAGGACCCTTTTGTTTGATTCATTGAAACAGCTGCCTTTTTTAACCCACAAAAACCCAACAGTGATTCCAAACTGAAACAACCAGTAATTCTAAAAGCACGTCTTTATTAAGAGCAGACGAGGAGAGTCATGATGGCTCAGGTCTGTTTTTGAGGAAAAATTAATGAATGAACGAAGAGCAGTAACTTTGGATTCCTTCCAAAGAGCAGGAACGAGAGAGTCGGGTGGGTGGATTGGCGGGGGGGAGTCGCAGGGCCAAGGAGCCACAGCAAAGAAGATCCAGTCTTTACTGCAAGAGGTGGGAGGGACACTGAGCAGCCCCTCAGTGGTAAGCCGAGGGCCATTGCTTAGTGACAGAGCACATGCTTTGTGGGCAGGTGTCCCATGTTCCATCCCAGCATCTCCAGATAAGGGTGGAATGACTTGTGGCCTGCATTGCCAGACATCCATTGCTGCCGGTCAGTTTGGCCATCCTGAACCAGGAAGGCTCCTGATTCAGCATCAAAGCGGTTTCTCATGTCCCTTGCCTCCAACCCCATCTCATCCTGCCCTTAAGGCTCAGGTAGTGCTCAGCTTTCTTGTGGAAAGCAGGGAGCGATTGACCTTTCTAAGGCTCCCTTTGCACAAGGATTTAAACTGACAAAAAGGAGAGCAACCTGGAGACGGACGTTCCCGGGTGTGTGGAGCAGAGAGCCCTGGGTAATGCCTGTCCATTCCTGCTTGTCAGAGGTCTGCTGGAAAGGCGTGGGAGCAGGCCAGTCGGAAAAGCCAGCCACCCTAATGCATGCCTGTGTGATTTCTTTGGCGGCTGAGCCCCCGCATGAGAGAAAAGACAGCTGGTGTGTGGTTTTGCAAATCAGCTTCATTAGGGGAGTCTTCTTTCTCGTTTTTTTTGGTCAGCCAATCTCACCGTTCCCCCTTGCCCCTTCCCCTCCTGCTATGCCGCGGCCTCCCATTCTGGCACATTCGGACTGTCCCGAATGAATGGCCCGAAGGATCTTCGTGCCGGCTGCCCCCACCCCCAATTATCCTGCCATTCAACTCCACACAGTCGTGCCCTTTTGAGCGCATGCATGGGTCTGCGCAAGGAGAGCCTGCCTCTGGCTCGCCAGCGCTTCCAGCCGCTGAGTTTTCTGAGCAAAAGTGTCACCTGCAAGCAGCAAAGGCCGCTCCAGGCCATTCGACACACACACACACAACACACACACACGGGGCTGGGTGAGCAGAGCAGATGCAGGAGGGGAATCAGGCCTCCTCCGCGTGGAGCAACAGATGATTCCGTTATCCATTTGTCACGGCAGCAAGCGGCTGTGCAACAGGTGGCCGTTCGATCGCGAGAGCCGCCACGGAGCTGCGGTTTCTGCTCAGATGGTGAAATCCAGGCCAATCCGGCGCTTTCTGGCAGGATGGAGGGGAACCACTTCCATCTGTTTCCTCCTCCTCGGCCGTGCGGCTCCATGTGGGATTTGGCTTTTTCATCTCGCAGCTTTGTGCTCTTCAGAACTGACAGCCAGAAGTCTTCATCCGGTGCGGCGTTGTGGTGAAGAGATGGAAGGACGGAGCCGGAATTCCCAGGACCCGCCGTTGCCTCTGCTGCGAACTCTTCGGAGCGGCTGAAGGTGAAAGCGCGGCTGTCTTCAGCTCGGCCCGCACATCACTTCATGTTCCTTCCACTCCCACCATCACCGCTTGGGAAGCGCACTGGAGAAAATAAAAGACTAGAAAGGGAATATGTGAGCAGGCAAGCTTCAGAACATAGGAGCCTGGCCAGAATTTCATAGAATACTCTCTTGTAGCCCCTCCCTACAGCTGCCAAGATTCAAACTGCAGCAGGCAAGTGGCTTGCTATAGAGGTTGGACCCACCTGTGCAGCAGCTGGCATTCCTGGATGGTCTCCCATCCGTGTGCAAGCCAGGACCATGTCTGCTTAATAACCAAAATGTATTTCCAGTGTATGCTTTGGTTGTGGCTACATGACAGACAAAAGCCAGCACGGTGTAGCGGATAGTGCTGCACTAGGATTTCAGGAACCTGGCTTCCTATCTCTGTTTGACCATGGAAATGAACCATGGCTGGCAATGACAAGCTGCTTCTTGAACATCTCACATATTTGGAAACTCAACCAGGATCACTTTGGAGTCAGAATCAGCTTGACAGCACATGGCAACCACACCGCAGTACAGACTGAAAAGCATTTCGTCATCTTTCCCCACTCAAGAAGAACCTCGGGTTTACGAAATGGGACAAGTTAAGGGTTCTCGACACCCACACCCAGCCGCAGGACCTCCATCCTCTATGGGGGGGAAACAGGATGATTTGTCTGGAATGGGAGCAATACTTATTCCCTGTGCAAAGAGGTGTTTCTGCAACATTTTGGTCAAGGGTGAGGAAAAAAAGGGCTGGGCCATGTTCAAATTTACTTAGGCTTTTTCAGGTCAGGACTTGGATCGGGGAGAGAGAATGGCCTCTGTCAATCTGTTTTCCAAATCACTGAGAGGCAACAGGAAGAGGATGACTCAGAAGAAGGTCAGAGATACCTTTCTCTGCTACCAGGAAGGCAGCTTCTTCCCGGTAAAATCCATGCCTGTGTGGGGCAACATGGTCAGGATAAAGCCCTTTGGAGCAGCTGCCTAGGCTAACCAGCAAGCATCTCTGTCTTTAACTCTGTGGGGGAAGGGGCTTGCTGGAACACAAAGCTGGCCTTGGGCTGTAGGGGTCGTTCCCTGTAACCTTCTGGTCGAGGACCACCCCTTGCATTGTCACCTGGTTCTCCAGCTGAAATGCGGAGGTTTCGGCCCCAGATC